TTTCAGAACCTCTTTTCTTAAAGAAGGAATCGATTTTTTTGTTCGCCGTGATTAACTTAATTGTCAATAATTATCATTTAACAACCTGAACGCAATTAAGAATAATAATTATTATTATTATTGCAGTACATTTTTAATGTAAATAGACTCTAAAAAATAACTTTTAGAATCTTATATCCTAGCACAATCCTATCCTATTCCTAAAAGTCATCGAATATATGGCAGCACAAAATAACATTTAGATTTTTATCCAAATTCTTAGAGGAAATCAACAAATCATAACCTAAAAGCCTATTCAATTATCAAGAAATCACACAACACAGTACCTACCAATTACAATAAATCATAGTATTAAAAAAAAATTCACAATATTTAATTAACAATTGTACCAATAACAATTATCAGATATTCATCGCAACTCCTAGCTTCTCTACCTTATGCCAGCCTCTGTGATTGCATTGGCCCCACATTGTCATTAAATTATTATTTATTTTTTAAAAAAATTCAACATCAATTGCTAACCCAGATAATGTTAGAGGTGGTGGGTTCTGAGTGTGTGTTGAAAGAGTATATGTGTGTTTATTTTTTCAATTGGCATAGTAAAATAAAAGAGTTTTTGGAGAGGGAGCGAAATGTATTGACAGTGGGAGTGTTTCGATTGGCATAGTAAAATTGTCACAACCCAAACCCGCCCCTAAGGGTTTAGCATCGTAACCAGCCAGTAATCCGCGATTACCAAAGGCCTGCTTAACAGTAATGTCGATAATACAGTAACGGGGCTGGCGGAAGCCAATCAATAATAAAAAGATGTCCAATGAGCTGTGAAAACCTTTGCTATAGACATATACCAAAAATAAATGTACAAGGTAGCATACAGGTTAGGGACCTAATCCCCTCAGCATAGCTATACAATCAAAGTCTTGAACATTCTTTGTAATAACAGGGATAAAAAGGGTGAATATGGAACACCCCAAAACAGCCTTGACTCATGTAGGTTCGGAACCTCGATAGGAAGTACAATGGCTGGCTTGACAAAACGAGAGCTCAAGTCGGCGCCCTTAGCTCGGGTCTGGTGCTCGACCACCTACATATATATATACAAACTGTGAGCTAAAGCCCAGTGAATAACAAATGTATACAGAGGTTGGGAATGATGTCCTTTAATTTTGAAAACAATTATTTAGCATTAGAATGTTTTCAATCAATACCATTTGTTAATAAAACAATCGATTAGCATTAGAACATTTTCAATCAATATCATTTGTCAATTAATCATTCAATTCGATCTATCATATTCATTAAGTCATACGTGGTACATCCAATAGTAACAATACACTAGGTCTTAAAAGACCAAATAATCAATTAATGGCCATCATACAATAACAATAGTTCCAAGATTTGGAATTGACAGAGATCTCTGTAACAATAACGATAACAATATCAATAACAATAGCAATATCCTATGGATGCCACGAATACAGTTCAAAATAGGATCATCATTCAATCGATAAAAAGTATCATTTCAGAAAGCAATATGATTTATCAATCAGAAAATAAATACGATTGAACATATCTTTACAACATTGTTACTCACAGATTATTGGGCTATAGGCAAGCTAATCAGTGTCCTTGGGTGCCAAACCTACACAGTTACAGAATGAACGCACACTAAATTACACACTCAGAATTAATAACTTAGCCCCTTATTTGCTTATTTTGGTGTGGTTCTATATCAATATCCTCAATAAGATACCTTAAACATGGCCTAGGAATGCCTAGGATGGAATGAGGATGCAAAAAATGTACTTAAAAATATTTTCAAAACTTGCTGAAAACAGGGGTCTTGCTCGAGCGTGGCTTCCTTCGCTCGAGCGGACATGCAGAATGTGCCTGGTCGCTCGAGCGTAGACTCCTTCACTTGAGTGATCTGTAAAAATGTGAAAAGTACTGGTTGCTGAAAATCTCCGCTCAATGCTCGCTCGAGCATGAGACACAGCTTTTCGCTCAAGCGCAAGTCTTGTCGCTCGAGTGTGCTTCTGCACACGTAAAAAAAACTTGAGAGCTTGCAATTTACGCTTGAGCCAGCATTCTGTCACTCAAGCGAATGACTGAAAACAAAGGTGGTCGCTCGAGCGTGGAATCCCTCGCTCGAGCTAGGAAGCCAAATTCTGAGTTTTCCAGATTTGCTCTCAAAGCTCAAACCATGGATTTGATATGCCAAAACTCATCTTTTTTGGGCCAATTCTCTGGAAAATACTTAGAGACCCATAATACAACATGTTTTGAAGATCATTTCATAAAATCAAAGCCCAAAAGTATGCCAATTGTACACAGAATCAACTTGAAATAAAAGAATATGTTGTAATTATGTCATGCATGTACTTATTTGAATTCATGACTTCCAACACATGATCATATGAGCTATTCTTTCCAAAAACATGATGAATTCTTAGATTACAACTATAATATGAACATGCATGTGTGAATTTCATGAAAACACTTCAAAATTCCATACTATGGACATGCATGCATGAATTGATTATCAAGTCTACTCTTTAGGCTATTTCTTGACTTTAGTCTCCAATTTTTCCATGAACCATGCATGAAACAACTTAAATTCATAACTAAGAGGGTGAATTCCTACCTTAAGTCTTGAATTCCCAAGTGTGGTAGCTTAATTTTGCAAGTCCTCTTCAATTCTTCTAGATTTCAAGCAATACACTTGTTGAAATCAATTTTCTCCTACTCTTTCTCATACTCTCCTCTCCCCCCACGGTTGTGCAAGAAAAATGGAGGCTAATGGTGTGTCAAACATATATGAAATAGAAATAAAACAATGGCTTTGAGGGAGCCCACTCAATGGCAAAAGTATAATTAACTCAGGCTTAATTAGTTAGCATTATTTATTCAAATTTAATCGTTCAAAATCGAATTCAATAAGACTTATCATAAAATTCTATAATTCCTAATTAGCATATAACACCAGTCAATTTCTGAATCAATCGCCGATAAGGCTTTTAATTCGCAACTCGAAATTAAAACGTGAATAGATCGTTCTACATCAAATAGATAGAAATGCAATTAAACGACACACTCACATAATCAATTTGGGATTTCATCTTAATCATTTACTTAGCATGCTTAATCATGAATTAATACTAAACATGGGTCAGGGTTGTCACAAAAATAAAAGAGTGTTTGGAGAGATAAGCGAAATCTATTGACGGCGGGGTGTAATTGTGGGTTATGTAGCGTAGGAAGTTGGGGATTTGGGTTGTCAAGTTTGGTATACCAAAACTGAAACTTGGGTTGAAGATTTCTAGTTGTCTGCAGGCTTCTAAAATCACAATCAATCATAATATTCAGTCTAAAAACAGAATAATCACATTGATGCTGAAGGGATATCAGATAACTTACCAGTGAGAGTCCACGGTTCCACCGTCCACGTCGACCAACTCTGACGAAGTCTGACAACAAAGCTTCTCTGTTTCTTCCATCGTCTTTTCGCTCCTCTCCTCTCTTCTCTTTTGAATTGTAACAAGTCTCTCAGATCAGTTATTTTCTTTTCTTTTTTTAATCTTAGTGCTTTGTTTGAACAAGCTTTTCTAGCAAGCCTTATAGTTTATATATTTGTAAAAGTTTCATATTTTACACTTTGACCCATTAAAGTTTCTAAAATTTTACTTTCATCTTGACCTAATTTAAAAAATACATGTACATGAAATTTAAAATAGATTATTATATATGTTAACTAATTTAAAAAAAAATTCTAAGTAGTTTAAAAAATTGGGGGGCTACTTTATATAATTTTGAAATTATCTAAAAAAAAATTGGGGGTATGAACTCCTATAATTTTAAATTATTTTAAAATTTCTAATATAATATATGATATTTTTCAAATTTTTGGAGGGTGCAGCCGCCCCCCTCCACCCCCCCTAGATCCATCATTGCGTCAAAATGTCCTAGTAGGACAAATGTGTGTAGGATAAATTCAAAAACTATCATACTTTATTATATAGATTTTAGATTATTTTGTCTTTTGGTAAGTTATTTTAGCTCAACCCTCTCCTAAAACAAGACATATATATATCATATTTATTGTTATATAAAAATTTAAAAACCGAAATGAATTAAACCAGTCTTTATAACTCAATTTGGTCTAATTATATAAGTTAACAATTCCGTTATATTTCAATTTTTTTAGACGTAAAAACCTGTTCAATTTCTAGTTTATTTTAAAATCAAACAAATCCATCCATGAACCCCTTAATTTTAATTATTCCCATTGTAGAGGCCGTTATTATATTTAGCCATGATAAATGAACCAAACGAGTCAAACAATTAATTCCTGAAGTTCAGCTTGAAAGTGTTAGCGAGTACTTGTGTGGATTCAAGCTCAAATAGTTTGATATATTGGGATGGGTTAAAATAGCCCACCCTAAATTAAAATTAAAATAGTCAATAAAATAAAACATCTTATCTCATCATTCTTTTTATTTTTTACATATATCTTGATAAAAAGTCAAATATCCAACTAAAATAGTAACTTATTTCCAAACAAAGCTATAGTTTTAGATTTATCGAATCGAGCTGAACAAATTATTAATTGTTCAATCTTGGTTTAAAAATTTTAACGAGCTCTAAAATATATTCAAAATTGACTTATTTACTTAACAAATTGAGTTCGAACGAGTTTTTAACGAGTTGAATATAAGTTGTGCTCAAATTATTTGATTCGTTTACCACTCCTAATTATACTATTACATTTTAATAAATTGTGAACTCATCAGCATGAAAAATTATTTTTGGGATTTCATATTTTATAAAAAATATATCAAGTAAAATAGTTCAAATGAGTCTGTCTCACCGCACAGCGGCTGCTGTTGCGCGGGGTGCGCTGTAATTCGAGATAGACGTCGCCACTTTGGTTGCGAAAATAGGCCCAAACAAATAATAATCTACGTGGATGTTTCTATTTAAAAGCTCCCCACAACACCAGAAGCAGAAAACAAAAAGCATAGGAGAGCAGAGAGACCTAGATCAAAATCATCAGTGTTCAATCTTCGTTCCCTACAAGCACATCGAAGCAGCTAGAGAACCCTAATCAAGAAATGCATTTTGGAGAGAGCCCAATTGATCAAGAAGACACAGAAAAATTAGGAAATGTCGAAACTTGAAACCCTAACAAAGGTAGAATCAACGAAGATGGTGAAATTGTAAAGGCGGAGAGAGAGAGAGAGAGAGAGAGATAGAGGAGTTCTGGTATTTGGTCGATGGTCTCATGGGTGCTGCGGGTTCGAAGCTCGAGAAAGCTCTCGGAGACCAATTTCCAGAAGGCGAGCGCTACTTCGGCCTCGAGAATTTCGGCAACACTTGCTACTGCAACAGCGTCTTGCAGGTTTGCTTCTATTCAACTCAATTCATTTTTCATTTTTTTTTTGTGGGTTATTGTGATTTATAATTTCATGCTAATTCTGGGTTTTTTTTATGGATCTGCTAAGTAGCCCAAACAGTGTCGTGTAGATTCAAATTTAGTGTGAATGTGTATCACACCCATAATGGATTTTGACCAATTTTGGGGCTATTTTTATTATTTTGTTGGCCTCTGAATAGTGGGTTTGTTAGTTTTTGATTGGTTGACGATTAAAACATTGTATAGTTATTCCACTGTTATTCAATGATAGACATGCCCATACAGTTTACTTTTGTAATCTATGCAATGCACATTCATATACTTTTGTATTCACTATTTGACAAGGATGGAGTTCAACTGCCACAGCCAATTCAAGGAGAATCCAATTGATTATATATTTGTGTACATATTAAATGAGGTATACTTCACTTTATTTGGCAACTTCTAAGCTCAAGTGGTTCTTCCCCTGATAATATGAACTTTGATCCATTGACTACTCTAGTCATGGTGTTAGGGGTTGTATTGTGTTACTTTTACTTCCAACTAGGTGAATCAACTTCCTTGAGAGTTGAGCTGATAAGCTGTTGAGACTTTCATAATCCTTTTACTGCTATGAAAGTTGCTATTCATTTTATTCTCTCATATGAAGTGAGGGTTGAGTATTTTTCATTTTGATCAAATCTTGTTAGGTTCATCCAGAGATGGAGCCATTTTTTTATTTTTTTTCTCTAGAGGAGGTGAATTCATACCAAGAACCATTTTTTATACTATTCGAAAGAGATTGAGGAAGAGAAGGAGAATGAAAACTGAGGGTTAAAACAGAAGGCAATAAAAATAGTGGAGGGACTAGTTCAAAATAACTTTTAAAATGGGTTTAAGGTAGCGTTTGGTAGAGTTTTAGAATTATGATTTGAAAATAGAGTTGTACTTTCAGTTTGTGAGTTTTGGAATTATGATTTGAAAAGAGAAAATTTGTTTGGTTTTGAGTTTGAATTAAGTTTTTGAATTTTTGTTGTGACATATGAAAGAGTTGAGCTGATAAGCTGTTGAGACTTTCATAATCCTTTTACTGCTATGAAAGTTGCTATTCATTTTATTCTCTCATATGAAGTGAGGGTTGAGTATTTTTCATTTTGATCAAATCTTGTTAGGTTCATCCAGAGATGGAGCCATTTTTTTTTTTTTTCTCTAGAGGAGGTGAATCCATACCAAGAACCATTTTTTATACTATTCGAAAGAGATTGAGGAAGAGAAGGAGAATGAAAACTGAGGGTTAAAACAGAAGACAATAAAAATAGTGGAGGGGCTAGTTCAAAATAACTTTTAAAATGGGTGTAAGGTAGCGTTTGGTAGAGTTTTAGAATTATGATTTGAAAATAGAGTTGTATTTTCAGTTTGTGAGTTTTGGAATTATGATTTGAAAAGAGAAAATTTGTTTGGTTATGAGTTTTGAATTAAGTTTTTGAATTTTTGTTATGACATATGAAATGAGAAAAGTTGTTTGATTATGAATTTTGAAAAGAGTTTTTAAAATTTAATTCAAAAACTTATAACTCATAACCAAACACACAACTCAAAACTCTATTCAAAACTCATAACTAAACTTTTTCTAAAATTCAATTTAAAAAAATAATTTTTCATTTTGGTCTAAAAAAATAATTTTTATATTTAAAAAATATCAAAAACAAATATATATATATATATATATACATTTTCAACCCAAAAAAAAAAAAAAAAAAAAAGTTACTTTTCCGGTCAACCGGCTGATGTCTGAGGGGACGATTAGGTAGACCAAAAAATTCAAAAACTGTACAGGAGGATGTCCGGGTAGACCGAAAATTCAAAAACTGTCGGCTGATGTCCGAGGGGACGATTAGGTAGACCAAAAAATTCAAAAACTGTACAGGAGGATGTCCGGGTAGACCGAAAATTCAAAAACTGTCTGGTTTACCTAACATATTTTTAAAATGTGTTTTGAAATTGATTTGGAATCATGATTTGAAAACTTCAACCAAATATAACATTCAAATGTAAGAGAAGAATTAATTTTAGAAAGCTTTACCAAACAGAGCCTAATATTTTCCAAACTCCTAGCAGAGGCAATTTTGAAAATCATTTTAGAAATTATAGGCAAAAGTGTGATTTTCCAAAAGTGACTGGGGATAGCAGCTCCCACTTGCCTCTTCATGTCTCCGTCAGTGGGTTCATTCCTTTTATCATGTTATGTTTGCACTGCTTGTGTATTCTCTAGTGATGATAAGGTTTGGCAATTTGCCAGTGGCCTCGATGCATCTGCCTTACCTTGTTCTGCTGCAAATTGCACATGCTGCTTCTTCATTGGGCTAGGGGGTTATATTACATCATTACATGTTTTAGAGCTAAGTTTGACAATTACAAAGTGTGGATTCACCAAATGTACCGTCTTGGGGAAGAAGCATCTAGAAATAACACATATTAGTTATTTGATCCATAATTTTTATTGTGTATTAGTTGCATATAGTTTTAATTTATCATTCTTGCATTATTTTTGTATTTTATGTTAAGATACCCATTCTTTCAGTTTATAATTATATCAGTTGATGTATCTTACAATAAACAAGAATATATGATACACAATACATGTAATTGTTTCAACGATACCCAATACATATCACAATTCAACACTGATTCACACACTAAAATATATTCTTATTTTTTGGTGATATGGTATTATCATCATAATCTTGCTTATCTACTACATCACTATCTGGTTATCGTTTTTGAAATTACTTACTTTGGTTTTGGGAGCCAAAATTGAAATCACCATCCGCACCCCCACCCCTTTCCAATAAACAAAGAAAACAAAACACTTCAAAATGCTGATCACACTATATTGTGGTTGTAGTTTTGTTATCATGCAGGATTTTCCCTTTATGGTATTGCCTAATAATTTCTCCATTTTGATTATATTTGCAGGCTCTTTATTTCTGTGTTCCATTCCGTGAACAGTTACTAGATTATTATGCAAATAGTAAAAATCCAGCAGATGCAGAAGAGAATCTTCTTACTTGTTTGGCAGAATTATTTACACAGGTAATAAATCCAGTAGAAAATGAGTTGCTTTTATCATTTGAAGCAGAGTTGCCCCATTCACCTGTATGATATAGTACATTTGTTAGTCTACAAATGGTTTTATCTAGTATGGTTTGTGTGCAGTTAATGTTTTTCAATTTTACTGTATGTTACTGACTTACTTGCAATTTCGCTTCCCCAATTACATCTTTTTGTTTGATTTTTTTTCTCTTGTTTTCTTTAATTCTCAAGTAATTAAGTGGTTGTGTCTACTCTTTCTTTGAAACTATGGGTTTACTTGTTGCTGGGTTCTCTTGGAAGTTGGATGTTTTTGTTTTTGTTTATATTGGATTTGACCTTTCTTTTGGCTGGAAAACTATTTGTGGCATTTGATTCCAATTGAATTTGTTCTGCCCTTGCTAGATTTTGCTTGCCCTCATACCTTTTTTTGGGTGGCAAGAGAATAACTCGTGTAAACTTCGGTGTTGAGTCTTTTGATAGAATTTGCTTGGCATTACATATTATGGAAGAAGAAGAAATAAATCTCTATAGAATTTGCTTGGCATTACATATTATGGAAGAAGAAGAAATAAATCTCTTGAAAGACAAAGTGATTATTTTCAGCTGTGGATTTTGTTGGACTTTGGAGTAACAGGAAAAAAAGATTGTGCGAAGGGGTTAAAAGAAGGAATAAAGAAATTGTCTGTGATAAAGAGTTTTAGAATTATGATCCATTCCTCGCTCATGGAAAGGCATACATCTTTTGACTACTTTTATGTCTCCGTTAACGCAAGTATATAAACAGTTATCCTGGAGGAAAACATATAGCCCGTGGCAACCAAAACAAACAATCTTTTACTGCCGTTAATTCGTTAACAATAACAACAAAAGGAAACAAGCTTTTCTTAACCAATTATTGGCTTTAAAGAATACATTGCAATAGTGTCCTGCTTAACCAAGCTGACAAAAGGTGGATTAATGATTTTGGCATAACCAAATGCAACAGTGTTACCCTGTCTTTCTCTCCCCCTCAATTGAGATTTGAGCTTGTAGGTTGCCTCTTTCTCTGGATCATATTTTTGGCTTGATCCATCGTATTGGAAATTCGTGGAATTTTCATGGGTTAAAATGTTCTGGGAAAAAAATAACAACAAAAGGAAACAAGCTTTTCTTAACCAATTATTGGCTTTAAAGAATACATTGCAATAGTGTCCTGCTTAACCAAGCTGACAAAAGGTGGATTAATGATTTTGGCATAACCAAATGCAACAGTGTTACCCTGTCTTTCTCTCCCCCTCAATTGAGATTTGAGCTTGTAGGTTGCCTCTTTTTCTGGATCATATTTTTGGCTTGATCCATTGTATTGGAAATTCATGGAATTTTCATGGGTTAAAATGTTCTGGGAAAAAAATTGAGAGTCTTTTATTGCTGTTAATTCTTTAACAATAACAGCTGGACCAAGATTTTGTATACACTGATTTTTGTTTTGGTTTTTGTTTTTTTTGTGCAGATAAATTCACAGAAGAAGAAAACAGGTGTAATTGCTCCAAAACGCTTTGTACAAAGAGTGAAGAAACAAAATGAGCTTTTTCGTGGCTACATGCATCAGGTATGATTTTTTTTTTTTGATAAATAATGCATCAGGTATGATTTTACCATTGATAAGGTGTATTGTTGGCTTTGATATATCACACATGCCCTTAAACATTATAAACATAAGGGTTTGTTTGTTGTTTTTTTGTTTTTTTGTTTTTGTGTTTGTTTTTAATGTACATTTTCTGCTAGCAGCCCCCCCCCCCCCCCCCCGGTCTCTCTCTCTCTCATTATTATTATTATTATTATTATTTTCCTATTTTGCTTTTTAGCCATTGACTTTGCAAGTTTGTTTGTAAAAATCCATGGCCCAACATTCTTTTAATAAATATTTTAGTTCAGAGGTTGAGATAAGAATTTGGTACAGCTTTGACAGAGTCTTTAGATCAGCTTCGGAAATGGAATTGACAATCCTGTCAGATATTTTCTGTAATGACATCAGTTCCTGCTCTATCCTCTCCAATTCTGGTCTAACAAACAGATGGTCGACTATGGTTCATTTTTGCACAGCCATATGTGTCCTTCCCATGGTTCATGTATATGTATGATACCTATGCCTTTATAAACATCATTGTGAGGATATGTGCTGCGTGTTTAGGTATACTTGAACAATGCATAAGAATGCCATATGAAGAGGGAACAATCACTTTCCTCATGTTTCCTATCCCGTGCCTCAATTATTTACTTGTTTTTCCACAAGAGAATACTCATTTATTTTACGGAAGGATACATAATCCCATTTATATTATCATGACAGAAGTGGCAACAATATTTGTGTGCAGGATGCTCATGAATTTTTGAACTTCTTGTTAAATGAACTTGTTGACATAATGGAGAAAGAGTCCCATGCTGTGAAAAGTTCTTCAGAAACTCCTTCACCTTCTGAAAAGATAGCAAATGGACCTAAGAATGCTCAGGCTAATGGTGTTAAGAAAGAGCCATTAGTTACCTGGGTTCACAAAAGTTTTCAGGTGAGTATGTTGTGGTTTTATTCAAATATAGTAAATTATTTGTTGTTTTTCACTTTCTTGCATACATTAGTGATTTTTTCATCACATTTTGTTGTATGTGTTTTGCATGAGGGCCTCCGCATCCATCCTTTCATTTCACTGTTATTGTGTAGTTGAGCTTCATGACTAACGCTAAGAATGTGTCTCTTGGTACCTAAGAAGCACAATTATGGACATGAAACATAGATAAGACATGGATATGGAGACGTGACAATTTTATATGCAGCATGTACAGGGTTGTGTTGGGCCCCTTTTTGATTCTTTTTCTAATAAAATTTTACTTATAAAGTGCCCTCCCCCCCAAAAAAAAATAAAATAAAATAAAATAAAATAAAATAAAATAAAATAAAATTCTATACATATGTGTGCATAAAACAAATAATTATTATTCATTGATATTTTCTATTTAACAAATAACTTATTTTTGTGTTAATTTGTTGAAAAAGAAGTAGGAATAGAAAACCCTAATATCTTACTTAAAGAGTTTTAAATATTCGCAAACAAATTGGAAGGTGCAAGAGTTGGTCATTCAAATATTAAAAGCTCTAAAGGACTTGTTAACATGTTTATATTCATATTCTTTATATTTATTTTAATTTTTGGTGGCCATTTTATTTATTTAAAACTAAGAAGCACCTACACAGACATGTGACACGATATTGACACGTGAACACACAAATTTTAAAAAAAAAAATTGCTGGACATGACACGTAGTGGTCACATGCAAAACAAACCAAACCAGGCCTTAAGTCCCATCAAATGGGGTTAGCCACATGAATCCTTCTTCTTCACGCGGCCCTATCAAAAGCCATTTCGTTAGTCAAATTAAGTAGATTCATATCCTTATTTACAATGCTAGCCAACGTTAATCTAGGCCTACCTCGTCCTCTAACACTTTCATTTACCGTTACAGCATCACATCTCTTCATTACTGTTTCTGTTGGTTTCCGTTGAATATGACCAAACCATCTCAATCGATTCTTTCTCAACTTATCTTCTATTGGTGCTACTCCTACCCATTCCCGAATACACTTATTCTTAATTCTATCTTGTCTAGTCTTGCCACACATCCATCTTAACATTATCATCTCAGCCACACTCATCTTATCTACATGTTGTTTCTTGGTTGCCCAACACTCCGTCTCATACAACACCGTTGGTCTAATAGCCGTTCTATGGAACTTATCTTTAAGTCTAGTGGGTATTCATTTATCACATAGTATCCCAGACGCACTTCTTCACTTACACCATCCCGCCTTAATCCTATGGGCTACATTCGCATCAATCTCCCCCGCTGTTGTGATAATCGACCCTAAATTACGAAATGTTCACTCTTAGGCAGTTCTTGGTTCTCAGTCTTCACTTCTCCTTTGCTTTCATTATTACTGTTACTAAGGGATTGTTTGGAGTGTCCTAAATAGATGCACTTTTTGTCTTTTTGGACTAAAAAGTTAAGGAAAAAAATATGGATGTTTGGGTTAACTTTTTGGCTTTTTATGAAAAAATGTGTATTAAAAAATTATATAAATAAGTTTTAGGAGAAGATAGTGTAGTAGGCCATACGGATTGGTAGTGCAGTCGGCTGGGTGAATACATGGGAAAAGATTGCCTCTTTTTCGGGTTTTGATTGGAAGGTGTTGTTCGGCTCGTGGGGGCCCACCACGGGTCTCGTTTTTCTAATCGGAACCATTCAATGTGTAAAACTTGTCGAGTACTAGATTCTTGTAAAAAATCACGTTGATTGGATATCGATAGCTATCTGATCGTGTTCGTTTTTTTTTTTGTCAACTATTAACTATAACACCATCCATTTTTTATACAAAACTGATTTGATCATGTAGTTAGTGATATCCGATAGATATGATTTTTTACAGGCATATAGTATTAGACGAGTTCTACATATTGAAATGGTTCGGATTATCAAAACGGGACCCATGGGGGGCCCACGGGCCCAACTTTACCATCCAACTTAGTGAATGTACACATGTAAATTTTTTTTTTTCCCTTTCACTGTAGTGGGTGTGACGTCAGTACGTTGATGGGCAAAAAATTGATTTGGAAGCTAATATTTGTATATTTATTTTTTATATATATACTTTTTGATAAATAGTGATAACTTTTTAACTTTTTTAGTAATTTTTTGACTTTTTAGCTTTTTTTAAACTTGCCAAACCAGCTCTAAATTTGCACTCCGCATACTCTATCTTAGTTTTGCGTATCTGGAATCCTTTAGATTCAAGAGTTTTTCTCCAATTCTCCAACTTTGTATTAACTCTTTCTCTAGTCTCATCCACTAGCACTATATCGTCTGCAAAAAGCATACACCATGGCACGTCATCCTGGATATTTCTCGTTAACTCATCCATAACTAAAGTAAAAAGATAAGGACTTAAGGTAGATCCTTGGTGTAATCCTACAGTGATAGGAAATTCATTTGTTTCTCTAGCAGACGATCTAATAGTAGTCACCACCCCTTCATACATGTCCCTAATTACATCAATGTAACCTTTTGTTACACATTTCTTCGCTAACACCCACCATATTATATCTCAGGACACTCTATCATATGCTTTCTCAAGATCGATAAATACCATATGAATGTCTCTTTTATTTTTTCTAAAACATATAATTTTATATATTTATTATATGTCATTTTTTAAAATATTATATATATTTTTATGTCAAATATTTAATTTCATCAAATTCATCAACCTTTGGATATGCTATTTCGGTAAAAAACAACATCAAATTCATCAATCTTGTCCAACTCCCTCCAATGTGTCTGTGTCCGACACGTGTTGCACCTTGCTATGTAACCTCCGGAGAGGTGTTTGTGCTTTCATAGATTCTAAACTTGTGCCGGGACCGTAGATGCATCTTTGGTTTATGTAGTAAACACACATGTTTCATGTGTGTCTGAAGTATGTATGATTTTAGAAATTGCAAAAAATAATTGACACCACAACTGGTGCTTTCATGCTTCCTGGCCTAGATGTGTAAAGTTTTGGATAGCAATAAACAGACAATTCATGCTTCAAACCCTTTGCCGGGGTATCATATTTTTGGAGTTAAGACTTTGGCCATTTGGCTGTTAGTTTTACCAGGTGACGTTAATCCTCATGATGTCTGCTTATTGAATTCCTAGATGGTTTGCTTACCCACTTGATTGCTGTTGATGCCTATAAAAATGCAGGGTATTCTTACCAATGAAACAAGGTGCCTAAGATGTGAGACTGTAACCGCAAGGGATGAGACATTCTTAGATTTGAGCCTTGATATTGAACAGAACAGTTCAATAACGAGCTGCCTCAAAAATTTCAGTTCGACAGAAACTCTGAATGCTGAAGATAAATTCTTCTGTGACAAGTGCTGCAGGTAGATATGCTCAGTACTCTCTTTTTTTCTCTGACATCGAGTCGCATAATTAGATTTCCCCCTCTCCAAATGCAGTTTACAAGAAGCCCAAAAGAGGATGAAGATAAAGAAACCACCTCAGGTCCTAGTTATTCATCTGAAACGTTTTAAGTACATGGAACAGCTTGGTCGGTACAAGAAGTTGTCTTATCGCGTTGTGTTCCCACTTGAGCTGAAACTGAGCAGCACCATGGAAGATACCGACTCTGAGTACTCCTTATTTGCCGTTGTTGTCCATGTTGGGAGTGGGCCCAACCATGGGCACTATGTCAGCCTTGTGAAGAGCCATAACCATTGGTTGTTCTTCGATGATGAGAATGTAGAGATGATTGATGAGTCTGCTGTCCAAACTTTCTTCGGATCCGCTCAGGAGTATTCGAGTAACACGGATCACGGGTACATCCTCTTTTATGAGAGTCTTGCTGCTAATGGAAAAAGTTAAATATGCTTCAGATTATCTTTTCATTTCTGTTTTTCTTTGTCGACGCATAGTATCTCTGAACTTTCTGTTTCCCTGGACTAGGGTTTTGGTGTACAGTGGATGGTGGAAAAAAATTCCATCCTTTCGGTTGTTTTATTTTTTTTTACCAATAAAAGGGGTGTAAATTTTAATAATAGGAGTTTCAGAGAATGTGGAGTTTTAACTTTGCAAAGATTAGTACACTTTACAGAAATGCACAACACAATTGTACTAGATCTCCTTTCTTGTATGAATTTGAAATTCTATGGTAATAAGTTTCCCTGAACTAGGAAACTTTTAGTTATACATTTCACATAATTTTAGCAAATTGTACAGTGGTAGGTAAGAATCTATGATGAGTTTCCTACACTTACAAATTAAATCCATCTTTTTTATATCTATAATACATTGGAACATCTTTGTTGATGATCTTTTACTCTGGCAATATCTACGATGTGTTTGAATCATGGCGTTGGATAGTGATTTGAAAATGAAAAAGAAAAAATATAGTTTATATTTTATTTACATATCACTTCATTTTTTTTGGGTGTTCTCTTTTTAAATTTTTGATTCAAACACAATCCAAAGACTTCTTGAACAATATAACAACTTTTGAGAGCACTAATGAGTTGTAAATGCATGAATGGGATGGATTGAGAAATGGGGATGGGATTGTCTTCGGGTGGAGCTAATTAGACCATCTAGTCCGGCTCATTGTAAATTCATCTTGCGCTACATCGACAATCTGAACATTTCATGTTATAAAAGCTTGTTGAGAAGATCATTCATAATAAAAATAAGATTAATCATACGTTGGTAGTCACTTAATTAGATTATATTTATTTAAAAAATAGTTAACATACAAAATAATTTAATTTTTTCTTATAGGACAATTGTAATATGATCAAGTATTTATTATTTTTTGATCAACCTAATGTTTTATATATATAATTTATACAAAATATTTTATAAAATAAATATTTTAAATTATGGATATGAGTGTAAGATTGAGTCGGACTGCAATCATGTCCAACTCGTAGGAAATGGTTCAAGAAAGGAGTTGGAAAATTCGAAAATCTTCGAAAATTCTTGATGAACAACAACTTCGAATTCTTTAGAAAATGATGAGAGACTTAAATTCTTCAATAGTCTCAACTCAAGAACACAAGAGTAAATGAGATGATGGAGATAAGAGATTGGGTGAAGAAGAAGGTAAAATGACTAGAGAGAGAATAATGGCAAGGCTCTCCCATAAATTTTCCACTTTCACTCTCAATGTTGATAATGGAGAAGGGAAATTAGTTCTTTCTCAAGAGTTAAATCTCAAAAATCCATCACTTGTAAAGCTATGAGTGGGTGCTATTTATAGGCACCTCATAATGTAGGAGGGAGCCCATGTGCAAGGCACATGAGAAATATTCTCTCTAACCACCTTGTCCGAGGAGGTGACCTCTCTGAGGATGAGAAAAACCCTGAAGAGGAGATCAACCCCTCGGTGAACCTTTCTTCTTAGCCACACCTAACCAATGATCCCCAATCATCCCAAAGGGTCAGGGGTAGTCCTAGAGGACGTCCTGCCGCATAAGGGTCAGGGGTAGTTCAAGAGAATGCCCTGCCGCAAATATTGCCGTGTCTCAGGGACTCCCTAGATCGTGCTACCTCGACCCGGGTATAGGCTAGTTTAACCGAAGAGTGAATTTATCTCCACTCATCGTCCTCGGGATCGGGTCCTTTGTTCGAACTCCATTACGTCTATGGTTCTGGTGCGTAGATCCTGGAAAGTTTCGAGCCCGCAAGTGTTCTAGGACTCATTAACGGAGCGACTTCTAGATTGCATCTGAATCCGTTCGAAGCCAAGTGCTTCGGATCTCTAGGTTCGTGGATCCGAACCCTTTCGAGTCCAAGTGCCTCGGATCTCTAGGCTTGCTCAATACCCTTTCGAATCCGGGCCCAAGTAAGTCTCTAAGTTCGTGGATTCGAACCCTTTCGAGGCTTAGAGCGATTCGACCCGTTTGATGGCGATAAATCCGGACCCACTAATCTTGGACTTGCGATAAATTCGGGCCCACCATCCTTGGACTATTGGGCCTAATTAATTTAGTGGACTCAAATTAGCTCCTCTTACACAAGCCAACCGGAAACAATCGAGACCCACAAAAATAAGCTGGTCCTAATGGTATATTCCAAATCAGCACTGATGGTATATTAAGGGCTCGTTTGGAAAATTAGTTAAAAGTAAATTTTGGCTTTTAGTTCATTTTGGGTGACATTATCTTTCATAATTTTTATCTATTGAAAAACAAAAAGGTCCAATAAAAAAAATTTAAAAAATTAATTTTTTAATCAATTTCTCGAAAAGCTGGTCCTAATTCATGTTTAATGATAATGCCTATTTCTTTGTCAATCATTTCCGCCTATTTCTTTGTCAATCATTTCCGTGAGATCAGGCATTGACTAAAATTAGCCATATGGAACCACCATTTTGATAGTTTAAAATGAAATAGAAAATGATAATAATATAAATATAAAAGTAAAATTAAACCTTAATTAAAAAAATTTATAATGGGTGTTTGGTAAAGGTTTTTTTTTTCTTTTTGGAATAAAATTTATAAAATGATAAAATAAATTAAAATAGTTAATAAAACAAAATGTCATATCAAACTCATAATCATTTCACTTTTTTTCTTACAAACATCACGTCCAACTACAAAAAAATTAAATTATCTTCCCAAATACAAAAATTTTATCAACTAAAATAGCCTACTAAAATAGTAACTTTCCAAACACCCACAACGAAGGTGATGTTCTATACTTATGATTAAATTTATGGACTAGGCAGCTAAATTAGTTACTTTTTCACTAGAAATCACATAGTGATCATACCTGATAACATTGAAAGTTTGGGCTTCATTCAGTTACTCCAATATTAGTATTCTCTGTACAATTCATTATGAGTTGCACTCAGTTGCTGTAGAATGAAGCAAAAGCTTCCTTTACCCTCCCTATTTTCCACTCATAAGAAGTTAAACTGCAACTTCTCCAATTCATTAGTCACCAACCACAGAGGGCACCTCAAACAGAGACATATAAAGATTGGTAAATTACCTAGTCTAGACTTGATCAATTTCATCCAAGTTAGAATAGTCATGCAAGTTTAAATTTTCATTCCTTATTATGCTAGTCAAAACTTGCTTTTCTTTTGCCTTCTTTAATGTAGGTTGTTGAAGATGGATATCATGACCTTGCTGCTGATTGAAAATAAGTTGAAATCATTGGTGATGCACACAGTTCGTTCCAATTGCAATTGACTTGATTTTATTTTTATATTTTTTTACTTAGTTTTACTTTTAGGTATATATAATTATTTATAATAACAACAATAGCCCACATGTATTCTTACAATTCAAAATTTAAGTTTATACACTACAATACCTAAAAGTAAAACTAAGTAAAAAAATATAAAAATAAAATCAAGTCAATTGCAATTGGAACGAACTGTGTGCATCACCAATGATTTCAACTTATTTTCAATCAGCAGCAAGGTCATGATATCCATCTTCAACAACCTACATTAAAGAAGGCAAAAGAAAAGCAAGTTTTGACTAGCATAATAAGGAATGAAAATTTAAACTTGCATGACTATTCTAACTTGGATGAAATTGATCAAGTCTAGACTAGGTAATTTACCAATCTTTATATGTCTCTGTTTGAGGTGCCCTCTGTGGTTGGTGACTAATGAATTGGAGAAGTTGCAGTTTAACTTCTTATGAGTGGAAAATAGGGAGGGTAAAGGAAGCTTTTGCTTCATTCTACAGCAACTGAGTGCAACTCATAATGAATTGTACAGAGAATACTAATATTGGAGTAACTGAATGAAGCCCAAACTTTCAATGTTATCAGGTATGATCACTATGTGATTTCTAGTGAAAAAGTAACTAATTTAGCTGCCTAGTCCATAAATTTAATCATAAGTATAGAACATCACCTTCGTTGTGGGTGTTTGGAAAGTTACTATTTTAGTAGGCTATTTTAGTAGATTAAAATTTGTGCTTGGGAAGATAATTTGATTTTTTTATAGTTGGATGTGATATTTGTGAGAGAAAAGTGAAACAATTATGAGTTTAATGTGACATTTCGTCTTATTGACTATTTTAATTTATTTTATCATTTTGTAAATTTTACCTCAAAAAGTCAAAAAAAACCTTTACCAAACACCCAATTATATCCCTTCATCTATCATCTTAATGACCTGACAATTATATATTGTATAAAATGTAATTTTGAATTATTACATCTTCAATGGCACCCTATAAAATCCTGATAAGTAGCCACTAATTTGGAAGCAAATGGAGCCTATTTCTTTTTTTTTTTGTTGTTGAACAGGAAAAAAGGATGTTCTAAGGTGTCATCACGACATTCGTAGTCAACCATTGTTACTAATTTGTCGTTGCATTGGCAAAAGTAGTTCAATAATTATGTGGCACTGTTGTCGACCTAAATTTGTATTAGTAAAAAAGAGACTTTTGGCGACAAAAAAATTGTGTTGGCAAAACATCTAACTATTTTTAAAAAATAATAATCATTTGGTATTTGGGATGGCAAAAAATACCATCACATATAACAAATTACTTATCAATAAATAATATCCACACACATCAATTCATTTCCATCTAAATATATATACATATATACTAGTTTAAAAAGGTCCATACAGGCACGAGTTATTATTACAATATGTTTAAATTTTATATTTTAATAATTTTTTTAAAATTAGAATATCTATATAATAAAGCATGGTGGTTTTTCAATTTGTCTTACACACATTTGTCCTACTAGAACATTTAGACGGCTCAAATTTGTTCAAATTAAAAATAGCAGTTGAGATATATTTTTCAAAAAATGTTCTACATGTACATTTTCTATTTTTTTGCTTCTGTCTCTTACTTTTTCCTGTTCTCACCTATCCTTCTATGATCCCATGATACTGCCTTCCTCTCTCTTTTCTTTTTATTTTTTTTTATTTTCTACTGTTTTTATTTTTCTCTCTATTCGTTTATTTTTTTATTTTCTCCTTTTTGTTCAATATATATTACACATATTTCCATACAATATATGTATGCCCATAATACACTAGGACATTACGGGCATAAATATAATTTCTATATAATTATATAAACAAAAGTAGTATTGTATGTATGTCCGTGAAAATTGTATGTATGCTAGGCAATTAGATTTAAACCTAATATTATTTACACCATGCCTTCATGCACGAGCATACATTAGTTATTCTATAAAATAGAATGGAATA